AAAAAAAAAACAAAAAAAAAATACAAAAAAATACAAAAAAAGACCTTTACAAAGCGCCAAATTTTTGCTTAAAACTAAAGATACGACAATATTGTTGTTGGTATGATAAACGCGTTGCGGAAAAATCTGGGAAAAAAGAAAAAAAAATTAAAAATAAATTGTTTACTTAACATTTTCTACAAAATTAAGCAAATTGCAACAATAAAAGCACAACTCACGCAAAGTAACACTTTGACGCATACACACATATATATTTATAACCATGGTTAAATCTGTATTTGTTAACGAAAAACTTTCGCCGCGTTGCCGCCACGTTGACGCTTTGACACTTTTTCCAATTATCCACAACAACAACAACAAATACAACAGATTCAATAGAATATGCCTTTTGTGCAACAACAAAATAACATATTTAACTATCACATTGTTTGTGTCAGAAACAACAGCAGCGGCAGCAGTGGCGGAAGCAGCGGCGGCTGGCGTGAAAGCAGCAGCAAACAATTTACGCATGAAATTAAAACTTTCGCCCAAAGTGTTTTCGCCTGTCAACACTTTGCGAGTCAATGCAAAAAAAAAAAAAACAAAAAAAAAACAAAAAAAATTCAAAAAACCAAAAAAAAATTTAGCAGACACTAGGCCACGTATACGCTATGTCAGGCATTGGGCGGGTGAGTTGTCAAAATTTTCGACGCAGTTATGTTTTACATTGCAGGAGCTCGCCAACCTACCACACAAAATCTGGCCAAACACTGCAGTTGAACTACACACACACACACAGCCGTCAAGAGAAACATTTGCCCCGCTGCGTAATGGCGCCGATTTTGTATTTTTTTTCTTTTTTTCTTCTAACTGCATATCCGTTACAAAGCAAAGTCCGCCGACAAAACAGTTTACTGCGGGAAAAATGTTCTCAGCACTCAAGCTGAAGCTGAAGCTGAGGCTGAAGCTTTTAGTAAATTTAATTTAAATAATAAGCACTGTAAGCGTCTCAAAAGTGCCTACTTCCAGCCAAACTCTACACTCTTGGTCTTTTATTCGTGCTCTCTTTCTGCTGCGCTCACCCTGCCACCCACTCTCCTGCTCTAACGCGAATACTCTCTACTGGCTTTTGTTTATATAGTTTTATCATACACTTTTTGCTGTTTGAATTTATTTTGTAGTTTATAGTATCAGCGTTACATAAAACAGCGTAACTTTGTTTTTGTCAGTGTTTTTTTTTGCTGTTGTTGTTTTTGTTGTTGTTGTATACTTTGGAGATTTTTGTTCTGCTTTGCCTGGCAATTAAGTAATTAAGCAAGTTTTCCCTTTTCAACGACAATGTAATGCACTCAAGCGGAAGTGAGTGCAGCAAAAGCAATCTTACGCACACAAACACACATAACACACTCAATACACGCACACACACATGCATCTAGAAGTATTTATGTATAATGCTGTGCTGTGTTGTCTGCGACAAAAACTTTAAGGACATAAAGCAAGGCAAGAACGGCTGATAACTTGCAAGAAAATGCTTTACTACACATAACTACACAAATAAAGGGTGCTTTTTGAGAGCTATGGGAATTTTAAAAAAAAAAAAACACATAAAATTCAGAAAAATGCATGAAATCTTTATTGGAATCGATAGTACGGTCCATATAATTTAATGTTTGACGATTATTTCATGCAAATATTGACCGTGACTGCGCCTCAAAGGGTCCATCCGCTGAGTACAATTTTGGCATACTCTTTCCAACATTTCGGCCGGTATCTCACGCATAAATGCTGCAGTGTTGCCCTCCTATACGTCAATTGAAGCGGACTTGTCTGTATGGACATTAGATTTAACATAGCGCCACAAAAAATAGTCTAAAAGCGTTAAATCACACGATCTAGGCGGTCAAGGGGACCGATTTCGAACGTGAAATAAAATGTACACCGAACTTGCTTCTCAATGAGTCCATTTTTAGGCGCGCAGTGTGGCATGTGGCAGCGTCTTGTTGAAACCACATGTCGTACAAGCCAAGCTCTTGCATTTTGGGTAAAGAAAAGTTAGATATCATTTAACGGTAGCGCTCACCATTCTCAGTAACGTTAAGATTCGCATCATCTTTGAAGAAGTGCGGTCCAGTGTTGCCATCAGTTCTTAAACCGCACCAAACTGTGACTTTATCTGTATGCGTTGGTAGCTCTTTCAACGCTTCTGTCTGATCTTCATTACAAAATCGACAATTCTGCTTGTTTAAGCACACATTAAGCCAAAAATGAGCTTTTGAGATGAACTTTCTTAACAGAGCACGCAAATTCAATAATTCCCAAGCGTTGTTCGTTTGTAAGGCGATTCATGGATGAAGATTTTAGACGGTGAAACAAAGCACGAAACGTGCGTAAGCTGTTTAAACCAGTGTTGCCAAAAAGATAAAAGCTGAAAAATCACCCTTTAGTGCATAAGTATATATGTAACCCACATATTTAATCCTAGTTTTAGAAATTTAAGTTAGAATATTTTCCATCTCGTAGAGAATTTAATTAATGTGTATGATGCCGCACATTTTTGAGCTTCATTTTTGTGGTCATTAAGACATCTTGATGGTGTTTTTGTTATTGTAGGCATAAAAATATTCCCAAAGTGGTTTTTGTGGTATCATGCGGAAATAACAGTCTTTGAATGGATACAAATCTGGATCATTCCCGTATAAAAACACGACTGCCGCGGTAATTTTTGGTTTATAATCGCCACTGTGGCCGCGGTGGTCGAGTTGTTAGCGCTGCGCATTGACATTCGGAAGGCTCGGACTCATCTCCCGGTGCCACCAACATCCAAAAGTTACTGAAAATTAATTTAAATAAAAAAAAATAAATAAATTGTCTAGTTACGGTCGCCCCCGGAGGGAATGTCCACCCTCTTTTTGTTGGAAAAACATCAACTCGCAAAACCGCAAATTGGAGGAAGGCCACGGCCGAAAAATCGCGTGAAACTTGACATAACATCTGAATCACCACATCAGTCAAGCGACCGCCTCAATTATTTTTCTCAACTTCGATCCGTCTGAGGTAATTTTCGACCACTTTTTGGCACATATTGGGCGTTAACTCAGCCTTCATTAGACCAGTGTCGGTTTTTGAATGCTTAACCGTTAGAAGTTCATCCACAAAAACCCGTTCTTCGCGTAGCCGTACAAAAAAAAGTCCAACGGTATCAAATCACACGATTTCGGTAGCCGATTCACTTCGCGAAGACGAAGCATTATGCGTTCGGGTAATTTCTCGCCGATTTACGCTCAAGTTGTGTGGCATTTGACGACACCATCGTGTTCAAACCACATATTATCCAAGACAAATAATACCGATCCGTCATTATTCCACATCTCTTTAGTGATTCTTTTAGTGAATGTCAGAAATTTGCAAATGCGCCTAATTTCAATATTGTTGTTCCCTACGCATAGTATTCGAGAATTCTACCGTCTTAGCTTCGCAAGCGCACAACTTACCTGATGAATGCTCATGGGAAATTGCTGAGATAGAACTCTCACCAGATGCTGACTCAGCCCTCACTTCTTTCTTCTTAGATCAGCCCGGTATAAAGCGGACCCCATGTTTGTCTAACATTAGGGGTACCCATAAGTGCATGCTCATGCTTGTATGTCTCACAAAAATCACTCTTTGACGGATTGTTCCCATTGCTTCTATTAAACTTGCCTCAACCTCTGCATAAAACACTGCAATGGGCTCAAAACCTATTTGAGGTGTGTTGAATTCCACCATATTAGGACTACTTAAAATAAAATCAGGGTAATCAGACTACAGCTACACAACCTCCCGAACTCTTGGACATAACTCGATATATAGTGTACATAGAAATTTCTGATAGGGTTGAAAACCGGATTAAGTTTTTCTGCAATGCTGATGAAGAAAATCAAAAACGTTTTTGCCTACACGGTCTCCAAAGCACTGCAGGACAATGCAGGACAAGGACTGATTTAATGACAAGCCAAGCCCTATTGTCAGCAGAATGGCCACAGCAATAACATATGTGGAAAGACATAAAGACATTGACGTTAGAACAGTCTCCTCTGAACTCATCCTTACATCTAACAGCTTCGTAGTGTAAAAGACTAGATGAGAACTAGAGGCTAACTATCTTACACTTCATTCAATGCGTTCTAAACGAGGGCTACTTTAGGGCGATTTAAATGAAACCTACGTCTGGAGCACTACAATGGACCAGTACGTTTATGAACATACCAGTCAGCCAATATAACCTAACCTAACTTAATTTTAGTGGTTACTATAACCAACACATCAATTAGCTCATATGCTTATGAAAACGATGCTTTTAATACTATTTAAACGGCTGCACTTTCATTACGAGTTAAAGGGTCTCCGGATTAATTGGGATTTATAGATAATTGTTTTTTTTTTTTTGTGCTGAGTCGATTTTCTGCCGAATTCATCTTCCAATTTGTGGTGTGTGTCTTTTGGATTTTTAATTTTTCTAACAAATGGAGGAAACTGCGATTTTTACTAAGACGCCTCAGAGCGGCCGCTAGATTCTTATGATTATCTCAGGTCAGAAATACCGGTGCACCATGGCTTTGTCGACTGCCAATACGCATTGCTAAGCAGTCGGCTATGGGTTTGCTAAGGGTTAATATAACCGGTCTGCGCCCTGTGAAAAATGTATAAAAATAGTGATGCAGTTTCGAAACTTGAAGCTTAGCGAAAAATCGTGTTTTAATAAATTGACGAAATTTTGAATTGTTGGATTGTTTTTTTTTTTTTTTTGCTTAAGAGCAAATTCTCATATCTCGTTACCCGATAACTTTCCAAGTCCTCCAATCAGCATCATATTACCACAAATTAAATAAAAAAAAAATTTTCTCAGCAGCTCGTCTACGTGCGCTCTCGAAGGGATTAAGAAAAGAGCAGTTTGCAACATTAAAATTTAATTACAATGTGTAGCCAGTTCTCTCTTCACCACTTTTAAAAAAATGTCTCTTAAAAATGTTGTCTCCACTTACCGTTCGATTTCCCAAATTCTTCACACGGCAAGTCAATTTGACTGTCTTGCCCACCAGCCCCGTAATATTCGTCTGCACAGATGTGTCGAATGTTGGGCCGCCGGTGCCAGGTGTTGGCAAATCTTGTAGAAAATCAGTGAAGAAGCGTTTGGAGGCGCCCTCAAGGGAACCTGAAAAGTATAATATTTTTTTATTATAAAAATTTAAATACTACGCTTTTTAATGTATTAAATAAATGTGTAAATTATATATATATGTATATATATAAATTATCAACATCGTCTGTATGCAACACTATAAATTTCTTGAACTAAAGCGTCGCTGTACTTTTTATCTTTGTCTTGTTAAAAACAAAATTAAAAATATAAAATTAAAAAAAATTAAATTAAAAAAAATTAACAAAAAATTTAAAAAAAATTAAAATAAAAAAATTTTAAATAAAAAATATTAACTAAAAAAAAATTAAGATAAAAAAATTAAAAAAAAAAAACAAAAAAATTAAAATTAAAAAAAAAATAAATTGAAAAAATTAAAATTAAAAAAAATTAAAAAAAAAAATAAAAAAAGTAAATAAAAATTAAAGAAATATCACAGCTTATTAGGCATAATTTCCAGCGTTCAAAATTTATAAGCTGAATATGAAATAATTTTTTATTTCAATTAAAATCAAAAATTAAAATAAAAACAAATTAAAAAAAAAACAAAAAATTAAAAAAAAAATTAAATTAAAAAAATTAAAAAAAAATTTAAAATTAAAAAAAATAAAAAAAAAAATAAAAAGTTAAAAAAATTAATAAAAATTAAAGAAATATCATAGCTTATTAAACATAATTTCCAGCATTCAAAATTTATAAGCTGAATATGAAATATTTTTTTATTTCAATTAAAATAAAAAATTAAAATTAAAAAAAAATTAAAAAAAAAAAACAAAAAATTAAAAAAAATTAAAATAAACAAAATTAAAATAAAAAAATTAAAAAAATAACAAAATTAAACCAAAAATAATTAAAAAAAAATTAAATAAAAAAAATTTAAAATATTAAAAAAAAATTAATATATTATAGCGTATTAAGCATAATTTCCAGCATTCAAAATTTATAAGCTGAATATGATATATTTTTTTATTTCACCACCAACGCGCATAATTCCGAGCTCCAATCGCCCATTCGTGCGTAGCAAACGCCCAAAATGACTTTGCATTTTACATAATTTTTATGACCGCAGAGGGCAGGACATTGAAGAGATTATGCCTACACATTACATGCATACAATTATTTAAACCATAGCACGGGACTAGTAGATTGTGGATTGTGTGTATGCCTGAGTCAGCGTGTGTGTGTGTGTGTGTGTGTGTGTGTACGTGTTTGCACGTTATTTGCAAACTTTAGCAATTATGAATTATAAAGTGCTAATGTCAGTTATTGTATAATGACTAAGTGTTGTCAACACGAGCGGTGTTAAAACAAAGGATTTAACTTAAACAACAACAACAATAATAAACAAACAAATAAATTGCGCTTTGTATTTAAGTGTTGGCTAACGGGCGTTGTGCTTATACGTTTGTGGTTGTATGCGCTGTATGAAGCACGCAAATGACACAAGTGTTTTCGGACAACAACAACAACAACAACAATTCACTAATAAAAACTAATGACAACAGCCAAAGAAAGCAAAATGATGTCGTCTAAGGGTGTAATCAGAGGTTAAAACATGACAACTAAAGGCTTAGCTGAATACTGGTTTATTGCTATGCTAAGCACGTTGCATGCCACTCGCAACAGGCGATACAAATAAAACAAAAAAACCCTCACACTTTCCAGAATGTGAGAGGTAAGGCATTGAAAGCGCCAAAGCAAGCGCATAACAATTACATATATATTATATATATAAATATAATGAAATTAACAATAACAACAATAAATGGAAAAAAACCATTTGTAGCCGCAATGGTTGAGTGTTTAGCTCTACGCAGGCCAACATGCAAAAACAGAAAAATATTTTTTTCGTTTTAATTACAATCGCACCACGGCAGGGAGTATCAAGCCCGCTGAGTGTATTTCCGATATGAAATCAAAACTAAAAAACCATCAGCCTTTCGGAGGTTTGTTAGAAAAACATCAAGAAACAAAACCCCAAATTTGGGCATGAGCTCGGCCGAAAATCACCTCAGCGGTTTCAAGGCGCTCAAGATATTTATAAAACAACAAATGGCACTGTAAGCAAGCGTTAAGTGTACTTGTGGCATGCCAGAGAAATGACGTTGTGCGCCGCACAGAAAGTAACTTTTTTTGTTCATAAACTTGTTACCAACGAGATGCCAACTTCATTATACCCCTCTCGTAGATGACTGCATCCCTATTGACAAAAAACTCGGAGAGCCAATTTCCAAAGGTCTCTTTTGAGGCCAACATTCACCATTAAGCGCGTTCGCATGGACCGGAAAAGATGGTAATCACTTGGAGCCAGGTCCGTACTATAAGGTGGGTTCATTAAGACCTCTCATCCGAGCTTCTGGAGCTTCTGGCGCGTCACCAAAGACCTGGCGTGTGACCTGGCGTTGTCCCTTTGGAAAACAATTCGACCTCTGTTGATCAAAGATGGCCTCTTCTGGATGAGTGCTGCCTTCAAACGGCCGATTTGTTGGCAGTAGAGAGCCGAATTGAGCGTTTGGCCATAGGGGAGCAGCTCGGATCGGGATCTAGCAGACCACTATTGTACTACACGTTCGTTTACAGTATCAGGCATATAAACTAAATACATTTTTTCAGCCGCTTTGGCTGCTTTTTCGCCTTGATCGAAGAGAAATTGTAAAATCAAGCGAATTTTCTCTTTGCTGGTGTTCATCTATGACCAGCGCTCCCAACGTACTGAGTCGGCGCCGTCTAGTATGACATGATGTGACACGTTAGGCTAGTACTATGTACAATAACGCCATCTCTTAGTTAAAAACCGAACGAACTTTTTACTTGACCTAATATTTTATTGTTTTTCAAAGTCTCCTTATTATAGTTAATTTTTTTTTACTGAAAATTGCTCTAATTTTTTTTGGTTTCTACATATATTTTTATTACCGTAATTTATAAAAATTATTTCATTTTTCAATTTATTAAATTTTTTCTTAAAAATGAAACGAAAATTTTGAAATATTTATTTAAAAAAAAAGCAAAACTAAATTTTATTTTATTCACTTCCATATTTACCGTAATATTTCCAATATCACTATTTACAATCAACTCAGGTTAACAATTTACTGCGCTTTGTTCAGTATTGATTTTATTTATCTACACAATCGTTGCTTTCCGCTAACAAAAGCATATCATATAGTGTAATATTATAAAATAAATATGCTACTATTGTGTGCGATAAAAATATTTAATGTTTAGTGAATTGGAGCAAATATGTACATGTTTATGTTGAATGTACACTTACACATATAAGGAGCGGTTTTTATTAAATTCGAATAACAATAAATGTAGTACGTATATATTTACATGATTACATACATATTTATATGACATAAAGTTGTAGGAATATATTGTATAATACATATGTGCATATAAGGTCAACCATTTCGGGATTACAAAATAAAAAGCTGTATTTTTGACAGAATAAAATTCAACTGTCAAACAAAAAATTTTTTAATTTAATGTCAGGCATTTATGAAAATGAATCTCTTTGCAATCGCACAACGCGTTAAATTCGATTAGCCCTACTACAAAAATTTTAATGCAAACGTGACCACGTTTCGTGCTTTGAAGCGAGAAAAAGAGGTTATGGTGCATATAAACGTCAGAAATTTGAAGAGCCTGCATCGCTTATTGCTCATTCCCCCTCAAATATCGCTAATATGTATGAGTGAAAGCATAACAGAAGAGCCGTTGTGTCTCCTTTACAACATTCTCAATAGCTGTGACTTTTTGGCGACACATTACGGCGTGCGTCGTACATCGACTTGGATCTACATCCATATAAGGTCCAGCGCACATAGAAATAACAGTAATTTCCCGTCTTTGCGATGTCAATCGCTATCGAGATCATGGCACTTGATGCCGTAGGATAATTTTTTTGTGAGACTACGCAAAAGAATGTGTTTCTGTGTGTAAACCTCTAACGGTAAGGTATTTGAAAATCAACATTTATCCAGTTATGGCTGAGATGCCAACTAATATGTGTCAAAAAGCTATCTAATATTACCTCAAACGAACAAAATTTCAAAAAAAAAAAATTAAAAAAATTATTAAAAAACCCAATTTAAGTATCTACATTATTTTTCGAAACAGCAAAATGAATAGCTCATATATATCTGATTGAAAGGAAAAATATGGTGGTCTCATATTTAATATGAGGAATTTTTATTTTTAATCAAAACCTTTAAACGTATTCATACAAAATCATAAAACACATCGCCCGCACATAAATATGTATGTTGATAGTTGATACTGCTATCTGGTTTTACTTGTACATATACTCGTATATATCGTTGGTATTTTTCTTTGAAAATTTTATTTATTTTTTATCTTCTTCACTCGATTGTAATTTATTTATAGAGTTACTCCATGGAGCCTGCAACCCTTCAGTTGTTATCATCAGCAATGCTTTTGTATAACTTGGTAATTTAGTGTCTGTTTATGCCGTTTTAATACCAATAACGGTAAATAGCCACAATTTTTTTAGAACCTTAATATATTTCAATTTTCAACTGAGTTCAATATAAAATGGCATTTAAATGGTTAATTATTGAATTTGGTGTTTTACTGAATATCTAAAATACGCTCAGAGTAAATATATATGTGGCTTTATGTACAATATAATATAGCACCACACAGCAGAACAGGAATAACAGGAGCGACTTGTTAAACTCGATTTTTGTACAACGAGTGAGAACTTTACTCACCAACTGCTCAATCCATTACTATTGGTGTTAGTGTGGATCACTAGATAGACCAAAAGATCCCACGGACCTTTCACATTCGCTAGATGTGGTCATTAATCCAATGTTCAGAAGGTCAACTTAATGATGATTAAAACAGCGCATAGTTTCCTCCTCCTCTCTCTCTCTCTCTCGAACCCTCAAAACTCCGTATTTTATAAACGAAGTGACGTATTTGGGAAATCTCTCTGACGGCTAACTCCTTAACTTCAAATACATCCACGTTTTGACTCCTCTAAT